GCAACGGCGGCGGCAGCAGCAGCAACGGCGGCGGCAACAGCAGCAACGGCGGCGGTGGCGGCGGTGGCGGTGGTAATGGCGGCGCATGCGCACGCCACGCGTCGTACGTCGCCGTCGCTCGTTGCTCATCGTTCCGACGGCGGATGGCTACACGCGGCCTCATGAAAATCTACGACAAGTGCGTGCGTATACTCGTATATACATACATACGTACGCGAACGACGCGTACAAACGAAGGCCGCGAGAGTACAGAGACCTCTGCCTTCGCGTCACGCCGCGCCGCTCCGCTCCGCACCGCACCGCACCGCACCGTCGTGCCTCCGCGTCGCGCCGACCGCGACAAGGATGCTGGCTAAGCGCAGCTACGTGACTTCTGTCCGCCGGCCGCAGGCGGGAGAACATTACCGGGCGAATTACACGGCGCATCGGAAAAGAATTCGCACGACTTTCTCGGAGTTTTACTGCAAAAGAGATTATGAGTTATCATACGATATAAAGTGTAATAATACCACCGACCGTCGCGGAAATGCCGTCCCGATATCGCGAGATTACGTGTATAAGGCGTCGTTTGCAGCTTCCCGCGTCGCGTTTTCGCGCGCGGCGCCGACGAAGATGTATCGTTATCTTTTAAAAGAACGCCGCGGACGCTCATATCTGGACGAACCATTCATTTTAATGTACGAATAGCTTCGGAATACGCATTCACCAAATTTACAATTCTGTTTAAATAAAGCGTTTGTAATTATAAATTAGGCACCTGTGCTATTTTCAGCCGTTCATTGATGTACATTGGTACATTGTTGCGTAATTATGCGGAATGTTGCAATATTAAACTCGACATTTAAATGTTTAACATTCGGGGCATTTAACTTGAATGGAATTCCAATCTCGCGCTCTCTGCGTTGAAATGTCATAAATACATCGTGCATTTTGAGAACACGCGAAGAATACGTCGAAAGAAAAACGGGATGAAGCGCATCTATTTACAGAGCGTCCGTTCATTTATTGCACAGGAAATGCACGTACGCCAGGGATCGCGGAGCCTGCAAACGGCGGCTGCAAACTGCAGTCAGAAGAGATGGCGATGCCGGCTTATATGCTCTTTGAACAAAGCATTCTGTAAAGTTTCGTAAAGCCATCGCGCGAAGCTACCATCCAATCGCGCATAGAAATAAACTAAATTCTTGTACACAAAACATTCTCTACATGGCGCGTTTCGAGAGATATTTATATATATATATATTTTTTTTTCACAACGAATGTTCGAACCAAAATCATCGTTGCATCGCATCGTAGTTAGATTTATATGTATTTAATGCACGATATGTGTCACGTTCGTATAGAAAGAAAAATATGGCTATAATCCTTTGCCATGTTTTTTTTTCCGCGTAGCGTAGCTTTTGAAATACAATATAATTATTTATAGAAATAACAAGATACGTTCTATACACACGGCGGAGTTGAAAAGAGGAATGTGACGTGCAAATTTTCAAACTCTTAAAGTTGTATCTCATTCCACATCGATACGATTGTTCGCGTTAGGAACGAATGTTAATTAAGCCAGTTTGATGAAATCTCGGGAATAGTTTCGAGTAAATCTCTTAGGCGTTTAATAAAGAATTTGGAGCACGAGGCAATGTATAGAGCGAGAGGGAGGAGGTGGCGTGTCCTACTCGACACCGCCGACAATGATAACGGAACACGACAGCGCCGGCTGTTACGTGCCTCCTCGAGAAAATATCGCATCGTAATTTCGAAGCCCTCCTATTGAAATTTTAATTTTGTATATCATGCTAACGACGCGCATGTTTAGGTCTGTACGTGCAGTTTGCGCCTAATGCTCTCTCTCGTCGAATATTTTCTTGCGATCGTACGTACGTACGTACGTACGTACGCTTCAATTATTCTCTAAGATATTACATCCGGCTTTGGCGAACGGTTTATGAGGATTTTATCAGATTCACGATATTGTGCTATCAACAACGAGATATTCGAGTGGAAAGAGAATGCCGATCAAGATCGGTCTGTTTGTACCTGTCCGTCTTTTCCCCCCTTTGAAGGAAAAACAAGATCTACGTGGGGATTAATTAAAATTTATGACTGCCTATTAAATCGTAAGGCGCGTTTCGGCACATTTCGCGAGTCAAACGCGAGCGTTGGCGCGCGAATAATTAATTTGCTCGACTGCGAGAATAAATTACGTGCGATTCTCGCTTCTGACGTCACCGCGCGACGACGCGGATCGGGAGAACTCGGGGAAAGAATTATGAAAGGAAAGCGCGTATTCTACGCGCGATGAACGCGCGCGCCTCGCGTTCACCAGGGAACTTCGCTAGAGAATTCGGAATATGGGGGCTGCAGCCTCGCGCGAGAGGCATCTCATTCGACACCACAGACGGTAATAACGAGAGCCCGACGGCGCGAGGTTACGTGCTTCCTCCAGAGAATATTAATCCGTAATGCTGAACTCGGTCTGCTGAATCTTCCAACTCCCTATCTCAGACACGCGGTTGCTGTACCGAGGCTGGGCCGGGCTGTAGCGAGACTCGCGAAACTCGGAAACTTTTATAACGACAACGCGAATATCGTTGAACGGTCAATCGTGGAGCCGGCTTTCTCGATCGAATTTATCTCGCTCGCGATTTTTTCGTTACTATTCCGTCGACGGAATAGTAACGAAAAAATCGCGAGCGAGATAACATGACAGCGCCCTCCCGCGCGCGAACGACGTAACGATGCGAATGGATGCAAGGGATAAATTCGTGAAGGGAAATTCGTGAGAAATACAAATGGCTACATGAAAAATGCCTCGGAGATCTCGGCGTAAACTATACGGTGCACTTGACTGCTCTGACCGAACTCTCTTTGTTTGCTCGCACGTACGTACGTACGTTCGTTCGTTCATTCGTACGTACGTACGTTCGTTCGTTCGTTCGTTCGTTCGTTCGTTCGTTCGTTCGTTCGTTCGTTCGTTCGTTCGGATTGTACGGATGCACTTTTTCATGTAGCGACCATACTCGGAGCAGGTGCAGGACCGGACAGACAGGCGAACGACCGAACGAATCCGGTTCGGAATACGCACTAGGCGAACTCCCCTTCTCGTTCGCGTAACGTGGGACTAGCTTAAACTGGTTGGTTCGTAATAAGAGGAAAGTTCTTCATTCTTTGCTAATAGGGGCAAGGAAGGATGGGGGCAAACTTTTACTTTTGATTTACTGAAGAAGAAACTGCTCGGGCATAGCTCGGACTCGCCGGTCGTTTTCAATTAAACGATATTATATTAATTGAACATCAAGTAATATCAATATTGCTTTATCATGTAATAACTCGTAATAATCAACATCATATACCTAATTATTCCATTAACTTGATATTAATTTATAATTTTGTTCTATTATTTATTTAATAAAGAAAACAGAAGGGAGGAACGAAGTACGAGGTCAAAAAACGAAATGTATATACGTCAGCGTGAAAAAAAAGTCTTTCGAAATGTATACACGTCAGCGTGAAAAAAAAGTCTTTCGAAATACCAGAAGAATCCGAAGAAAGCGTTATCCACCTTAAAAAATAATCAAACCACGACTGCTCGAAGTAGCAAACCAATGAACCGTGTGAAATTCCATGTAATTATCCGGAAGTAATGCCGTCGGGGACGTAACGCCTCCGCAGTCACTGTTAGCTTAATCGAGATGACTTCCTTTTTTAATTCCGCGTAATGTCTGCTCCGGGAACCACCCTTTCCAAAGTCACAACGAGAAAACTCGCATTAACACGACGATAGAATGTAGACGTAACGCGCGCACAGCATCTTTTTTAAAATTACTGTCTTTTAGAAATGTCAACATTTCTCTCTACACTAAACTTGTACTTAATTAAAACGAAAATGTATCTCGTGATATTCAAAGTAATTAATATCAGTCAAGAAATGTATATTCCACTCTATGAAAATATCGAGACTTCCAAACAGTTCAGCGTATTTCTTGTATATTTTAGCATGGAGTATGTAAATGCAGCACAAGCACTTGTTTATTTAGCCATCTATTTTATTTGATCTTACTTCGGGCTACTTGCTGTCATTAATTTTTAAAAATACAATTTCGTGTCACGGCACTCGTGATAATTAAAAAAAAAAATAAAAAAAAAGAAAGAAAGTTATGAGAAAGAAAGACTTTAGATTTTCTGAGAAACTTTGATCAGAATTCCTTTCTGTGTGCGCCTGAGTTTTCTTTCAAAACGTAATAAGCTCTATTGTTTCCAGGAAATTGATTCCCGTTAAAATTAGTACGTGTAACTATGCTGAATCGAAATATAA